GAGAATTTCAGTATTTTGCCAATACTACCATTACGGAAAGGTATTTTCTCGATTCTGACGATACCATCGTGTTCAGCTCGTCGAGCTCTATCGATCTATATGTTTTTTAAAAACATCTGAGATAGTGTTGTAATTTCGAACTTTGCGAACCTTATGTTACTTCAAAAAGGTGTAATAGATATACTTACATGTATGGTAGAACTTTTATCAGGTGAAATTCAATGTTCTCTCGAGAAATCATACTATAAAATACTGAATTATTAGTATATAGCACTCTGTTGTTTTGATGGCATTTGTTATTGAACCTTATAGCCGAATATCTTTTTTCGAATGTATTGTGTTTTTATGCATAAAGAACGCATGCTAGTATCTTGTGCATACATTCCAGAATGGTATAAAGCAATTTTACAACGGATCGTAGTAGAAAAGATGTACTATATTTGATAACTAATAATTCAAAGATATTTACGCTGATCACGATGCTTTATTAATGAAGAACACAAAACAACGATACAGAAAAGTAACAATAAGACTAATAATAGATTAACGTGTATATTTTTTTGTTGTATTACTGCTTAAATTTTTAAATATTTTTGCTTTTTTTTCTTGTTTTGGTCGTTGAAAACCCATTGCTTGTTTCTTTGTTTTTTTACTATGATATACACCTGCAAACAAAAAGAAATTAACAATGAATAGCTTTTCATATTTATTATCATACCCAGATCGACAACTGGTGGTACACGAAAACCAAAGCTCACTGCAACTTTAACTAAATCCAATTGTTCAACATTGTAAACATTTTTCATACTATGACTTGCATAGGCCCGAACATAGGCTTTGTATGCTTCTTTTGCACTTAGATGAAGGAAATAATTTTTTTCAATTAATTTCTCAAGCTAAAATAGAAAATCAAATATCAAAAAATTACTTGATTATTGTAAGTTGAGAATCAACCTTAGTCTTTAGGTCAAATGAAAGTAACAATGTCTCACGGTCGTGATAGAAGAGCAATAACTTCATACAAACTGCTGGCAGTTCTTTTTTAATTTCAATGAGACGTGATGTACTTCGTTTATCCCTCTTAAGTTATGAAATATACGGCTGAAAAAGACTTATTTGCCAGTTAAACTCACTTGTGGCTGAATATCGGCAATTTTACTCCATGAAAATTCAAATTCATTCACTGTAACACGTGCTTGTTTTAAATACCTTAAAAATCCTAATTCTAATGGTGTTAATATTAATAGAGCATGCCCACGTGCTCCAGCACGAGCAGTACGACCGACCCGATGAATATATTCCTGTGATGAATTAAATACGATAAGTAATAAAGCATCGAGTAAAACAGATCTCTCATTCACTTACTTTTGGATCATCTGGTGGATCGAATTGAATAATCCAATCCACAGATGGTATGTCCAAACCACGAGCGGCTACATCGGTACATAATAATATACCTGATTCTGCGTTACAAAATTCAAAAAATGTGTGGGTACGTCTCGCTTGCTTTTGTTTACCCTGAAACAAGACACAAAGTTAGACAAAAGAGTAAAAACATAATTCTTCTTCGTAGTGGAGTCTCCATGCAGAATATAAGATAAGCGTCTTCTATCTGAACAAAGTTACTCACATGTATACTTAATACAGGAATATCAATATAATTTAATAACTCATTGTAATATTTCACTGCCATACATGAACTAAAAAATACCATCATTTTCTTTTTTTGGTTCTTCTTTAAAAATGTAAATAATAATAGAAAACGCTTGTCTTCTGCAACCACAACGTAACCCTACAAAAACAATATAATTATAAAGAAATAAATTAATAAAAAAAATATAACGTACTTGTTCCAGTCCTTCTACTGTTGCTTGGTCTTTCTGATCATCAACACCTACATATAATGGTTCTTTTTTTAATGACATCTTAGCTAAATCTTCTGTGCGAGGAGTCTGAGTGGCGGAAAATAACATTGTTTGACGACGTTCTAAAGAGTAATAAACAACCGTTTGAAGAAATAATTCTCTCAGAAAAATCAATAGAAACCGTTTTATGCTCATACTGTCCAGCTAGTTAGTTAATATTGTTCTAGAGTTGTAACACTTATAAGTGTAAGTGCATATCCTTTATGACAATGTTTCTCTTTCATAACAGTGACAATCGAAATTTACGAAAAATTCACTAAGTATCATATGCGTACTTGGTAATATTTTAATAATTTGCTTCATTTCTTCTTCAAATCCAATATCTAGAATACGATCAGCTTCATCAATAACAAGACATTGTAAATTTTTATACATAAATTCTTTAGTATTCTGAAATAGGAGAAAAAAAGCAGTTATAAACTGAGTGTGTATTCGAAACAGTTTGTGTTTAGAATTTCGCAATTCTTGTTATTACAACAATTAATAATTTGTAACTTTCGCCTTACTTGTAAATGATCAAGTAATCTTCCTGGAGTAGCCACAACAATATTAACACCTTTAACTAATTTTTTAACTTCATCTTGTCTACCCGTGCCACCCATAATTAGCCCATAAGTAAAATGGTGATGAGCCAAAAGTTCTTTCAGAACACTATACGTTTGCATGGCTAATTCACGAGTAGGAGATATAATGACAGCTCCTGTGCCTAAAACAAAAATCATTAGAATAATAACAGTAGAGATAAACACAATACAGACCATTTCGTGGCATAAATCTTAATTTATACATTAACTCGACGACTGGAATTAAGAATGCCAATGTTTTGCCACTACCCGTTTTGGCTGATGCTAATAGATCTCTAAATATATGAAACAAAAATAACTAAAGATTTATTAAGGTCAAATTAGATTCTGCATACATACCTTCCTTCTAATAAATGCGGTATTGTCTTTTCTTGAATCTCTGTCATTTGTTCAAAATTCATATCTCGAATCGCTTTTAATGTTAAATCGGATACACCTTTCTCTTTTAATGTGTCAAATGTTATCCGTGATAAATGGTCACCGAATATGGCTACATCTGAACAATATAAAAAAACAATACATAAGCCAAGACAAAATAAAATTAATCGCTTATTATCTAGCAAACATTATGTGGAATGTTCTGATATATAGAAAACATTCTCTTATCAAAACACGACATAACGAAACTTTACATTCAGTCTAGAACTCATTCAAAGAATACTCGTAATGTTTACATACTCGGAGATTTTTTATCCGCCTGTGTTTCTTGGTTTGTTGTTGTTGTTACTGAATGTTCTCCATTTGTAGAAATAGTTGAATGGTTATGCTCTTCTTCATTCGTTCTGTCAACATCATCATCTTGAGAAAACCAATCATTATCCTCATCGTGTTGAAGTTTGATTTTTTTGGCCTTTTTAATACCTGAAAAGAGGACAAAAACATCATCTAATTCTTTGCCCGGTTATTTAAACTCTAGGACTTACCAGATCCATTACTTTCTAATTTTCGTTTTTTCTTCTTTAACTTTGCTGGAAAACAAAGAAGAGTAGAAAGAGTATTTAAAAAGCCGTAAGAAACATACCTTTTTTCAGTTGGACGGTATCATTTAGAGTTTCCTCACTTTCAGCCATTTTACACAAAACAAATTCGGATTTATATCTAGAACGTAGATCTCACATTTATAATTGAAAAATTTTCCCAAACTTTCTTTTCCGTCTAGAAACCAATCTTCCCAGGACTGGCATGTAAGGATACAGCGTACTTCCAAATCTTCTCTTCGTCCCAAATATTTTAGACTTGTTCTAAGTACTTTTAGCTGTTTTTAGTAAGCTGCAAACGGGAGACATCGACCAGGTTGCTCAAACAGTTAATGATAGAAGATGCATCTTTTTTTAGCTGAAGGTGATTGTCATTCGCCTGTAACATGATGCCCTCCGCTAAACAAATAAGTAAATAAAAAGATATAAACTTAAGTAAACAAAGGGGTAAATATCGTTGCTTATAACACCTCCGTATACCTTCTTCTAGCGATATTTACCTACTCCTTTAAAAGCGATGCAAAGACCGAGCAAATGTTAAACACTTAGTTTAATCAAACAGAAGAGCTAAGAAAAAGTCACAAGCTCGTCGCACGAAAAAACTTAAGTTTGGCTCAAGTTAAACTTAAGAATGAATTAAATCTTGAATTAAGTCATGCACCTAAGTCAGACGTACGTTTTTCCGTGAAACTCCTGATCCTTTACTTGTTCATTTCTTTTTATCTTTTTTTATTGCTTCATTTTTAAACGCCGGACATTACTGTACAATCATTGTTTAGCTGAAAAAACGGACTAATAGTAAATTCTGCTAATAGATGCCGCTAGTTGAAAGCGAATCAAAAAATACTCAAGTACACTGATCTGTTATATGTATGAACGGTTGTACCTTAGTTTTACAATCATTTTACATCGTGAACACAGCTTCAGCATGCATAGTCATAACTTTACGAACGAAACCATAGGTAATGTTGCCATGACTCTGCTTCGGGCAATGCTATATTATCGAGACCTTTTTCGGTAATAACTAATTAAGCCGAATCGTTTTCTATACATTATCATCTTTATTAACAAATAAAGCAATCTTTGGTGTTTAGTATCTAGTCTGATACTTCTTTGAGGGTTAAATACTTTTTCGGCTGAATCCGATTAATAAAAGAAGTGGTGGACTTTTCTTGTCTGCTGAGTACGAATTTTGACGTATCTTGTATCCAGTGACGTAGCCAAGGGGAGGACCTAGGGGCAAAGGCTCTCCCATTGGAAATTTGACTTCCACTGGAAAGACTGGATTAAATATCAGCCATCAGCGATATGTGTTTGCTCACTCTTCTTTTTACTGTAATCTTTCCTGAAAGTGACCTCTCTAAGCGTTGTCCTTTCTAAGGGAATAAATAATCAAAAATTTTCGATGTGGTGAAAAAATGTTCGACTCCTCCATTAGAAAATGTTAGCTATTCCACTGCTTGTATTTGAGAACATCTTGCACTTTTAGATCACATCTTTTCTAAGGATGCCAGGCAAAAAGAAAGGCAAAGGCAAAGGAAAGAAGAAAGGTTCAGAAAAGAAGGCAGATGAAGCTGGAAATGCGGAACCAGAAATTCAAATGGAAGAAAAAACAAAACAGTATTATATGACACAAATTACTACACTCAGAAAAAAAGTAACAAAGTAAGTTTTGACCTTAATAATAATCATACTATTCGTAATGGAATATCAATTCTACTCGTTTAGTTTACAAGCTCAATGTGATAAGTATTTAGTATCTCAACAAGATAATATGGCTCGCATAGAATCATTAAAAGAAATTCGTCTTGGATCACGGACATTTTTGACTCGACAAATGGATGAAATTAATTTTGAAATTAATAACTATAATCAACAGTTAAGAGAATTAGACGAAGCCAAAGAAAATGAACGATCAGATTTACTGAAACAAATAAACGAATTGAGAACAAGAGATTTACAAGAAACAAGGGAAAAGAATGAAAACGAAAACCACATGTTACGTACGTGCAAAGTTAACGCCGTTGAATGCACAGCTGTGAAGATCGAAGATTCCTTGTTACGGATAGTGCGTGTCTTCTGATGCGCTTAGCGAATTTTAATAACGTATAGTGCGTTATAAAAATTGCCATTAGTCATAGTAATCAGGGATGTCGCGATCTTCAAATTTTTTTATGAGGGTTAATGGAATCCAAAACTGTTGCAGAGATAGTACGATAGCCTTTTGCTGCGAAAAAGGGAAACGTTTGAATTATTGGATGGGAATATCCCTTGACCCCAGCACGGAGTGCAACACTCCTGACAGTACTCAGGAGTCTAAAAAGTAACAACATATAACTCATCAGTTACTGTATTATACATAGTCATTGGTAGTGGAGATTTAAACGTTCACTAACTGGTGGTAATTTGGTATATTGTTTTTGCACATTTTAGGTTCAAAACTGAACTCATTGGATGAATTAAAGAGTAAAAAAGAAGCACTATTAAGTCAAATCGATGAATTAGATTCCAAATTAAAAGAACAAGAACATGAATACAACGAAGAAATCTATTACAAAGAGAAAGATGCCGTTTTAGAAAAAGATAGGTATGTATACTGGTCAGGAATATCATTCATCTTTTGCAAACTTTGTAGTGGAAGACATTATTATAATTAGTATAAAACTGATAGAAAACATTGCAAAACCTCTGTGACCTCTAGGAAAATGATTGTTCTATATTTCTACTTCTTTCGAAATTTCTTTTGGAAAGTAGAAGAACTCAAGTCTAGGCTCGTGCCGTTCTTAATAGTAGCAAGTCAATATTTTTATTTGCGTTTCGTCTCTTTAGATTGCGAAAAGATATGGGTTCTCGTGTAAATGATTTATCATCTGAATTTCGTCGTGTTTCAAAAATGCAAGTTGTCCAAACAACGAGACAAATAATTCTAGAAAATGTTCGATTAAATCAGAAAATGATTGGAATCGAAGATGAAAACAATCAAACAGAATTAAAGAATGGAAAAATAAGAGAAGGGGTACATAATTCAACTCTAATTATAGATTATTAACACAGTGACTCTCTCATCTCACCTTTAGAAAAAGACTTTATCATTAGAGTTGAGCCTATTAGAAGAACGAGAACGAATGATGGCTAAAAAACAGAAAAAAACAAATCAGGTAAGTTTCGATTGACTATAATCGTTGTCGTTGATAAATTTTGTTTTTTTGCTCAGCTTATTGAAAAATTAACGGATGAATGTTCAACAAATGAACGATTCATTCAAAATTTAGAAGAAAAAGTGTCCGCACTTGAAGATACACGAAATTTAATTGAACAATTAGAAGAGATGAACGAGCGAGCAGAGTAAGTCGATCATACAATAGTATATTAGCTGTAAATCGACAGCTAGTCATAAAAATTGAATCTGCAACAGCTTTTTAAAATATCAGTGACGAATCTGCTTGTTAATGTGAGTTTAATATAAGAAAATAAAGTTCAATTGTTAAACAGACAAGATCAATAATTGTTCTTTCGGTTTTCAGAAAACAGAGTTATCAAGCAATTGAAGAAAATGAATTATTACGTCGAACAGTATCTCAACGTGAAGAATCATTGTCTAAACTGGAGCATGAAAATGAAAAAACACAACAAATTATTGATAATGTCGTAGAAGCATTAGAACAGGCAATAGAGGTAAGTCTTACAATTATTCAACCACTCAACTGAATTTTGTTGTTTCTTATATGTCTCGAGAACGAAATGTGCTGAACAGTTGCGTTTTGCACTAGATTGTTCCTCGTGGTCTCTAGTCTATATATGAACTATTTTGACACACAGTGATGTATTGTATTTGCATCTGCTAGGTATCAAATGATAACACCACCGATAAGACGCGTTCGGACATGGACGTTCGATTTCGGGTATTCGAACATATTATTCTTTTATTGAATTTGGCAACACAGTTAGGCGTAGGTCCGAAGCTAAATGATTTAGCTAAAGAAACATCATCACCGATAGGGTAAGAATGTTAAGTGGTTATAAGATTTAATACAATCTAACGATATATTTTAGCTTTTTCTCAAATAACTTATTTGAACCACAACATGACGAAAGAAGCTTATCGCCACCGGTTCGTTTGGGTGCATTGAAAAAAGTCACATCAAAATCAGTTGGAGTACAAACGTCTGTTTCTAATCGGGTAAGTTATTCTAATTTCGCCAAGTGTATAGTGATGGATTAATTAATATAACTTTCAAAATTTTTAGAATCCAGTCCCGTATCAAATGCAACATCGATCAGAATCGTTGTTGAAAAATGTTAGTGTAATTTCAAATAAACGGCCATCAATCGTTTCAACTTGAGTAGTATAATATAGATTTTGTCGAAAGAACTCATTATTTTTTCGATTGCATTGTCTAATTTTTGCAATACTTTATTTTTTATTTAACTGCTGAGTGCTGTACTCTGAGTGGACCATGTAAAGAGGATATAGTACAGTTAAGAAACTTCTGATTTTGTATTTCTATCGCAGTGTGTAATAAATTAGGTTTTTTCCATATTTTCCCTCGATTTTTTGAATATATTTTTCGCCTAAGTGATATACTTGATGGTATCTCTCCGTGATACGTTTTAAACATGTAAAAATCTCTAATTAGTGATTTTATTTATAGTTCGTTATTTTCATATTATCTGTAAATTGCTTTCAGAAGATCATTAGATAATAAATGGTACCAGATACACCATGTTAGTTTGGACCTGTCACAGTTTTTTGTTTGTTCCATAGCTTTTTGCTTATCTATAATCTTACTTTTACAATGGATTTTTGTATTCTATTTTAGATAAACGAAAAATGGGTCCCAAAAAAGATAAAGGCAAAGGTAAAAAGAAAAAAGATAAAGGACCAGCAGTACCTGATTATGTGGCCGAAAAGCCGCTTAGTGAAAATGATAAAAAATTCTATACAATGCAAATTGAAATACTCGAAAGACAATACGTCCAGTAAGTATCTATAAAACATATAAATCATTAGCTTTTCTTTTAAAATGATTTTTATAGATATGAAAAACGCTGTGCTGAACTAAAAGAACGTCAGAAACAAGAATTTGATCAAGTAAAAACATTGGAACAAGATTTTGAATTGCTTAAGTATGCTAAAAAACAATTGGAACAAAAAGAAGAAGAAATTCAAGACTTAAAAGATCGTATTGTTGGTCTATCACAAGCAAAAGATTTAGAAAAAGAAATGTTAGAAAAACAGTTAATTGATTTACGAACAGAAATACACGATTTAAAAGAACGTTATGAAGCAGAAAATAATGAATTAAGTGAGCAGAACAATTTCTATCTACATTGTTAAACTGTCTATTTTGTTGATGATGTTTTATAGGAAATCAAGTTAATGATTTGGAAAATTTTCGTAATAAACAAGAACATTATTTAGCACAACGAAAAAATCAACAAGAAACATTAAAATTAAAAGAACAAGAACATTACAACAAATTGGAAAGAATTAAGAAAAAAGACCAACAAGATCGTGACAGGTTAGTGTTTTTCTTGTTTTTGTGAAACTTTCAGAGCTTTCCTTCGTCAGAAGGAAAAAAGGAAGTTTTAAGTTTAACGAGATTTTAGCGGCTAAATGGCTGTTTTTGTACTTTCGGTCATACCCTTCCCCCATCAAGAGTGGTCAGACGGACAGGACACGAACGGCATGGTGTCTTGTAACTCACTATTTGATCTTCCTCTCTCGTTAGTACCCGCTTCATCATCTAACTTATGAACAACAACAGCAGTAGTTGTTGAAATAAAGGTGTATTCGTACCAGAGCGAGAATTGGATGTTTCTTGTAGCTAAGTTTAAGGGAAATGATAGGTAGACTAGTGAGTATTGATTACATATTTGTGCATATATTCAGGAAGAAATTTTACACATTTTCGTCCCCCTATGGCAATGCTTCTGACAAGTTCTTTAAGATAATAGTTCAATCTTTTTTATTAACTCATGTAGATTAAAACGTGATATGGTTCAGCGTGTGAATGCTGTTGCATCGGAATTTCGTCGTGCATCAAATAAACAAATGGCTGAGACAACAAAACGAACGATTAATGAAAATGCACGAATTGAACAAACTTTAAATGACATGGAAGAAAATTCATCAAGAGTTAACGTTGAAAGTGGACAAATTGAAGACGGAGTAAGTAGGTGGCAAAGGACCCTGTCGGATTTGGTGCTCCCCTTGAACCAAGAAACCAAATATGCAGTTTTGTAGAACAGCTCGCGGCACGTCGAATGGTATATAAGAAATCCTATTTTTATCTAAGCTTACAGGATCTAGGATCAGTATACTGGTCGAGCGTCATGATAGCCATTACTGTCACCCAGAGAAATCAAAACGACATATTCTCTCTATACACTTTTGTAGATCTCGCCTTGGGCTACAAGCCCCTATATCCAACCCCTCCATCCGCTCCTTACTAGCGGAGAAAAATTCGACTTTTCATCAATTTCTACGGCTTTTCGACTTCGATGTCTTTCAGTATTTTGAGTCGTGTGTCCCACAGGATAGATGACCAAGCGTCAACGTTTGCCAGAAATTGCACACGAGGTAGAGCTACAAAATTCACGATTTGAAAGTTCTCCTGTTAGGGGGCGTCATACCCAAAATGACCTTGCATTAAAATCTGAAGTCCAATTTTAAGGTCGTTTGTCCTTTTTCTTGTTCAGTTTTCATTATTTTATGTACCACTTGTTAACCAAAGTCTAAATATAAGATCATATTCAGGTTCAGCGTAAAAAACTAAGTCGAGTAGACTATACTAGAAATTTTCAAACGCTCTTATAGGTAACTTTGCTGGGTATATACCTGATTGCAAGGATGGATCATACAGTCGACTCTATACTTTGGCCCGCCCAGCTCCAAAGCTCGCTTGTTTTACCAATCTAAATACACAGTTTTGTAGAACTCATCTGGGGCTACACAATGTACTATTTGAGTTTTAGTTTTGAGTGAGTAAAGATGCCAAAAGCAGCTCTTTAGTTAGAAGTTACCGTGAACTTATGAATATCTTAGAAGCCCAATACGCATATCTCCTCTAAATATTATTTGATGACACTCAAAACTTCGACACAGACATATTTTTAGATGCTCCTCCACTGCTACCTTCAAAATATCAAAATAATAAATCCAAGTATAATAGGTTTTCTAGAGACCCCTTGAAAAACTAACGGATTTCAGAAATATAATTTCGCACTTTTAACCATCAGGAATTGTAGCCCATCTGAAATTGTATCTCTCCTGAAATTTTTACCCTCCTATACCTCGGGAGTGAGGAGACAAACAAAATACAAAACTGCATATTTGGTTTCTTGGTTCAAGGGTGACACCAAATCCGACAGAGTCCTTATTGTTGTGTATAGCAATCATCAACATCATTTTTCTGATATTTTAGAATGTTAATATGGGAAAAACTGTTCGAATTTTAGAAAAAAAAGAGCAGGAACATGCGTTTCAACATGCAACATCGGCTGAGGTAAAGGCAGTAGCGGTTAGTTAAATGTGTTGTTACAGACTTAGACATTATAATTTCCGTTAGGTCATACAATTACTTGCAAATATGCTCCGTAGTCAAGAAGAAATAATTACAGAAAATCAAGAACGTCTCTGTCAAATGAATGAAATTGAACGACGAATGCAAGATTTAAGAGCGGCATTATTCAGTAACGAGTATGTATTTGTTTAGGATGAAAACAAAGAGTAATATTTAACTTATATCTTCTATAGAAAAAATTATTCGGATAAAAAACATCAGAATCATTCCTACGAAAATCGACTAAGAACTCTTGATAATGAATTAGTTGGTGCAACGAATGAAAACGCCCGAATAATGTCAAACTTACGAGATGCTGTATCTGTGATCACAGATGCATTAAAGGTATTGACAAACATAATTTAATACATCTTTCATAACGGTTTATTGCTCTTTAGACTAAACGACAAAATAATGAAAAAGCATTGGTACCATTACATTTGAGTGCATCTAATTTTTCTGTGACAAAAGATTCAGTTGAATCGGGAAATCTTTTTAAACAATTACATCAAATATTGACAAATGAACCGAGTGAAGAACAAATTCATCATATATTAGAAGAAAGAAAATTTAATGAAGAAATTGGTCAATTGGAAAATGGTCAAGAAAAAACGTTAACCATAAAGTAAGATGATCAGCTAATATATTGACAAATGACTGTACTCATTTACATATTCTATGTATAGAGAGTATAATAAACGTCGTGATAATTTACACTATCGTCTTGGTGATATGGGTTTAGTACCGCGAAAAGATGCTGAATTATTTACGAATTTTGAAAAAATGCAACGTCTTTATCCACAACGTGAAAAAATTACACTAAGGAAAGATTCGAAAAAATCGGTTGCTGTACAAACACCTGGTCTCACAAAAGTAAGTAATTATTTCCAATAATATATTTTCTTCTATTTTACTATACATATTTGTTATTTTAGGGGTTTTCTGATATATCTATGGATCAACTTGCACCATATGATGATAAAAATTCAACAACACGACTATTATTCGATCGACCTGAATTACCTAAACGAATACCGCATTCTATTTCAGCTACAAATAGAGTTGTGCAATATGTGTTTTGAATCTAATATTATTCATTATTCAGCTATAACAATTTTTCCGGAAAAGTGTCTGAGTTGATAAACAACTCTTACATTTTAAAAATAATTTATATATTTGAGTCGTTCAATTTTTAGTTCTTTATTTGTATACTGTATATCTTTGGTCATTTATGCAAGAGACATAACATAGTATTTCATTTTTTCAGATAGGTTACAATTGATGAGACATCCACTCTGAATTTGGATATCACCGAAAAAAATAAAAATAGAATTGTTTCTATTCAATTCAAAACTGTCATCGAATAAATTTGTATTACTGAAAAACGTAAAAGTGTAGAACGTACTACATCTTTTCCATCATATTACAAATATCTATTAGCGATATTTTGAGAAGAGAAATAGCTGAAATATTGCTTTGACAGAGAATCGCGTTTGACTTGTTAACCTTCGAGGCGAAGAAAATATTATGGCAGGCGTTGAACCGTCTAGAAGTAGTAAAAAAAATACTGTGTAGCATTTACGGCAACAGTAACTATATAGGGACTTTTGAAAAAAAATTAGCTGTTTAATCATTAGCGCATTAAAAGACATGTCGGAAAATGCTTATAAGATAATTTTCTAATAAGAAGATGCTGAGAATTGCGTCTCAACTTATTTTGACGAAAAACATTTTTGCACTAAAGATGTAAATATCTGAATAGAGTATTTATCTAGTCAATAGCAAAACGCTTACTAAGTATTGACCATCTTAGTTTTTTGTTGGTTTTTGCAAACCCACTTAAACACACTCTAAAAAATGTGGGTAGATCAAAAAACGGAAAAGGGTTTTTCATTCTGAAACGACCATGAACCTTTTTTGGTTTATGAAAATAGTCTGAAAACGGCCAAAAAACCCTTCGAACGAGTGCACCTACGACAATATAATAGAGAAGAAATTGATAATGATTTTGAAAAACGACGGTTAAGGGTACATGTTGAAGAGTATATCACAAAAAGCTTGAGGCGGTAAACAAATAAAAGTATGTATCCCTCGAGATGTTCTGTCTAACCCTTTCGTTTACCCCAGCGTCAGAGAACTCCTAGTTACACCACTGACTCAAACAGGGTGTAGCGTTTAAGTTTAACAATCCTTTTTTGTTTTCCCGCTGAACATTTTTCGTATGATCTATTTTATCGCTTTCTGCCAAAATTCTAGCCTTCCACTTACAGAAATCAATCGAAACCCCTGCTTTCTCCCCTTTGGTTACCTGCTCCCTTAGACTCTGTCTAGTTCAGTAGAAAATGTTTTAATTCGTTAGCTATATTTCATGCCTCAGTATGGCCAATCTTACTGTGCAAAATGTGTATTTTGGGCACACTTAGTCAAGCAATCCTAGACCGTCACTAGAGAATAGCAGGCATTTTAAGTGTGACTACGGCATACTTTTGTGAAAACTTTCAGGGCTTTCCTTCGCCCGAAGAAAAAACAAAGTTTTAAGTTTAAATAGGTTTTTGAAGCCAAATGGCTGTTTTTCCCCTCTCTTATGTTACCGTCCCACACAATGGGCATTTCTCACTTAGCAGGTGGACACCAGAACTTTTTACTCAAAAATTATTTTTTCATCAATAATTGTCACTGCTTATTATTAGTCAGAAAATGATCAAGCGTACGATCTTATTCGATGATATAAAATCTTGTGACTTCTTATAAGGTCGTATAATTTCTTACAGCTTGTTTCTGTAAGGTCTTATAAGATCATACACGATCTTGTTTATTATATTGAATTATTAAATATAGTGCACAGGAATTAATAAAATAAACCAATTCGATCGAACGGACAACAACAGTGGATATAGTGTAGTGAGTATGCTAAACACTCGGGGTTTTAACCATTCGAAAGAAAAATAAAAATGTGACATGCGTGCTGGAAAATTTGATGATCAAACGTACATTTACTCCAGAAAACCGTTAAAGAAGGAACAATGAGAAATCTTTTTCCTACAATTCAATCAATTAATTCCGATTTTGACTCTTTGTCTATTCCTCACGTTTATTTCAAACTGTTTCTTTTCTTCCTCTTCCGCGCCTCTGTTTCCGCGCTGCCCGAAAGCAAGGACTCCTTGCTTTCGGCCGTAACGGAGACGTTTGTAAGAATGGGTGTCCTTGGCAGGGACACCCATTCTACAAATGTCCTTGAATCTTTCTTCATTCGACTGCTTACCATCTTCTCCTTTGTTTCCCCTACATAGATTAATAATTTACCCATTTGATCAGTAGTGAAAAAGGCTGGACTCTATTAAACATGGCATGAGCAGACGTAAACGTTGATGAAGATAATTGCACCTTCCTTTTTCTCGAATGAAACCATCTAATATAGCCAGTAATGGCAGATTTCCTACATTTCAGACAATGTGTAGAATTCTGCAATTTCCCTATGAATTCTAGGAGAATTATTTCATTCAATTTACTATCAGTAATTGTGTTCTCTAAAAGAAAAAGTGTACTCCAAAAAGTCTAAAAAGGGTGTAGAAAAATGAAACTGTACAGAACGAATAAGGATTTAAGAGTTTTCATGAAAAATGATTTAAGGGAAGGTTTAGTAGCTCTCCTAAACCCTTATTCGTTCTATATAGTTTCATTTTCCTAAATCTGTCAGCATATTGACGTGACAAATAAATTGCATCTTAGAAGATTTTACCAATCTTTAATTTTATTTCATTTTCATATTGCATATGTGAAAATATAATATAAGCCGAATGGTAATTTTTTGAACGACGGAAAAAAACATTTTTGCTAATAAACGACAAATGCATATAGAATTATTATCAGGAATTGAAAGTCACACACATAATATATACACGAAAAATGATTTAGAAAATCTACATATCTAATCCATGTTTCTCTTTGAAATACCCCTTTCCCTCGAATATTCGTTCATTTTCACGGACATTTCTTGTATTTCCCTCTCATCTCTAGCATCGTCATGATCATAGAGTTTCACTGTAAAATTTGTTGTCCCGTTATCATCACTTTCCCTTACATGATTACTATTACTATTCCCATTTCCATAATTATTTGTTGTCATACGATCACCACCAATCGTCAATCGTTCTAAACTTGAATTTCGTCTATATTCAACGGTACGCATATTTTTCGGTTCATTGATATATTCAACAGGTAAATGACGAACATGACCATTGACACCGGCACTAGGTGAAGAAACAACATTTGATTCACTATGTGTTCGTTGACGAATATGTCGAGGTAAAACGGTAGAATATTCAACATTTTGACGATCAATGAGATCGGCAGTTGATGAACGTACAGCTCGACGCATCGATTTCCGACCTTGAGAAGAGGAATTATGATAGAATTGTTTATTATCAACTCCATCATGTACTTGATTTCTATAGGTTTCATTTATCGGATCTTCATTTTCGTTTCCAAAATGTTTGCGATGGGTTAATCGCTCACGAAATCGTTCTTTTATTTTTTCACGATATGTTCGACGTGGTGGTGACGATAATGAGGATGATTCTATTTGACCAAAATTATGTGATGATGGTGGATCTAAACGCCAATCACCAAATTCGCGTCGTTGATAACGTGTTATATCATCACCTGTACGTCGGTGCCATTCGTTTCGATTAAATAAATTCGGTAAGGCCATACGTTCCATTCGCGGTGATAAATGATCAAAAGATCGATATCGTCCTTCTTCTTCTGCAACTCGACGTTTACATAATTCACAATCGGAGAAAGACTTGGGTAATGAACGACGATGTTGATCACTCGATCGAAAATCGTGCATTGTCTGAAATTGATTTGATCGTCGATGAGGATGATGTCCCCAATTAAAATATTCATTACGAATACCTTGTGCATAATTATCGTGAAGATCATAATCACTTCGACTTTCTTTTCGATATTTATCCATATTTCGTGCGAACGAAGTACGAGAAGTATCACTACTGTTGATGCCGAGTCCACCACCACTACTTGTACCAGAACGATGTAAAACCGTAGAGCTTGAACGTTGAGTGACTGGAATGGGTGTAACAAGTTGAGCACGACTCGAAATTCCACCATTGTCAAAATAACGAGTAGTATTCTTTTGAAATCGTTGACGACGCCGACGTCTAGAAAATAAAATGAAACATCGAAACAACTTTAAAACTAAACGTTACACTTACTGTATACATAATGCAATTAATATAGAAAGTAAAAGTATTAAAATATAACCAAGAATAATTGGAATAATAATCCAAATACCTAAATTAAATGGGATTATTATTGATAGAAAGGAAAAATAATAATTAGTTTACTTGGAATTGTTGTCCAACCAGTTGTTTGTGTTCTTGGCACTGTTATTGTTGTTGAAGTTACGGTACTCGTTGTTGTGATTGGTGATGGTAGTGGTGGTAAGATACATGATTCATACGAACAAATTGGTATTGCATAAAAATAGAGTAGATAATATGTTGAATGTTGTGAATAAATGAACGTATTTGGAACAAACGTTATTCTCATTTCATGTGTACTGGCTGCCAATAAACTTGTCGAAATATTTCCATTTAAAGTTATATTTAAAATCGTAGTACCATCGGATGAAATACTCTCAATCATTAGACTATCGTAATTCAATTCACCATTAACATAGTAGAGAACGGTTTTATGATCAGGACGTGCATAAATAGTTGTATAACACGTGGTTCGAATCGTATTTTGAGGATAATTTCGAGAATAAATGAACCCGTAGTCATTTGTTAATGAACCATTTTTACAAATATCACATTTTGTTTGTATATCCGAATTATACCATGTCGGTATGCAATGATAACCAATTTCTGTCACAGCTTTAAATTGACAAAGACTACGATCTCGAATTTGATATGTTTGAATATCGGAACAATGAGATTTTCCGGAACAGAGTGTAATCAAATATGGTAACGATTTTCCATCATAATCATAGCATGCATCGGTTATATCCGGTTGACATGTTTGATCAAGACCAAGTTTAGAGGGAAATGAACGAGCGTAATCAATAGAGATGATGTACACCGGTAGACGTTTCCACAGTTGTCGACGTCGGATAACACGACGAGAAAGCTGTTGTTGATCGATTACAAACGAATTCGAAGTTAGTTGGGGACATTCAAGTGAGACAAGGGAATAGGTGGGGCACACGGTTACCGTACGGTTAGGCAACTGATACTCAAAGTCTAAAAAGAATAAAAGAATTGTATTTATTCCACTAAGGTGGACAATCTACAATAACTTACACTTTCCATCCACATAGATTTGTGTTCTGTTACAAACGGTTGCGAATAATGTACCGATGTATAATAGAACTTTTTCATTCAAAATCATTGTTCATCAAATGCTCATATTTTACTCTCATCAGTTAACATCTATTTGATAATAATTAACAAGTTGACCACAATCCATTTGACTTTATTATTATATTAAAAGGATAAAAAGTGAGAGATGAAAAGAAGAATGTACACAAATATGTTTGTTCATTGTGACAGAGAAGAAAAGAAAGAAATTATGCAAAAAAACAAAATTTACCGTTCACATTTAGCAAGAAAGAAGAAAGGTCCTTTTGCATGTTATTTAATTCACAATGAAATAATAGTAGAGCTCATCCCCACACAGATGTGTCACGTTGGCGTAACGAGTGAAATAAAATAAAAAATACTGTACGACATTTGAAAGGCCTACATCATAATCCATTTCTGTATCATATTTAGGCATACAAAAAGGAAAGAAACGAAACAAAAATTAATAATATGATGATTTATTGAAATAAGAATAAAAAATATTAACCGTAATACAATCACACAACTGGAGTTATCTCTTACACTAATTAGAACTTAAATCACTACTTCAGCGTTAGTGGAGTCAGGAAACAAACAGTTGTTATGTTATTTTTTCTTGATTACAACTACACAGTAAAATAAAAGCATTAAAAAGTTAACACTTTTTCGGTGACACTTTTGTGTCTTAACATCTTTTTTTGTTAAAATACTTTTCTGATATGTAAAACCGAAGTTTAAAAAAATTTTTACATATCCGTCTCTAAAAAGGATGCACGATCGAGCTGTTGTTGGTTTACCCAATTGCGTTGGAAAATTTACCGATTGCTCACAGTTGGTATGTTAACCATCATTTATTTATGCACTCTGCATAAAATGACACTTTTTATTTTTTTGCTGTGTGGATCAAGTGTAATCAATCAGCTAGAATGATTTGATATAGAGACGGTAAACTGGAAATTGGCTAAACGGAATTTGGATTTTGAAATTTGGCCGTAACAAGTTTTGGTCAAATTCCAACGGAAATTGGCCAAAAATTTATATTCTAGTGGAATTTGGCCGTATTTCTAGATTCAACTAGAAATTGACCAAAAATCTAAATTGTACACGAATTTGGCCATTTTACCGAGGAAGGCGTGATGGTGCAAATTTTGGATGTTGTAGATGTTATGGTGGTAAACGGCAATTTAGACTTTTTAGACTTTTAAACTTTCTTCTAGAAAAAGTCAACATCCAAAAGTGCTCACCTTGGAGTTTGAGTATGGTGACTCACCCTCAAACTGCCCCCCCCCCCT